GACGGGGCGGTCAACTCAATCACTGTGCTTGCATCTTGAATCCTCGTTTCTGAGACACAGCACACATCAATGCCAAGCGAGTCCAGTGTGAGAGCGAGAGCAGCTTGTTTTCCTCCTTGCTTCAGAGTGCGCACATTGAATGCGGTCAGATAGATTGGGTGTCGAGTTTTGGAGATTGAGTTGGAGAGGATGTCGGTGCCATGTTGTGCCATGCTGCACACAAAACCGATGCAAGAAGAACGGAGTCATCAGTCCTTTGGCTTACAAGAGGGTTATTAATGGAGTGGAGAGAGGGGGGAGAAAAAGTATGTGAAAGAGGAAGGGAGGCGTCAGCAGTAGCCTGTTCTCGCTTACCCGCCATGCTGTATGCAGCAAGGCGACCCGGCTGATGGCACCACGCAACGGCGGATGTAGCATGAGAATATTGTTAGTCGTGAATGTTGAGTGTGATAGTTGGGGATTATAAGCGACCGACTGATACGTATTCGTGATATGGATCTCAAACCTGGAAGTGCGAGCCGTAATCAGAAGAGTTCACGCTAGACACCCATGCAATTACACCGATTACCGCCTGGTTCGGTGCTAACGCAAAGTGTGTCTAAGAGAGACCTCCGAATACTTCCTTGCGTGGGATTGAGTCCGTCCGTATTCACCAATTTACAGTTCATAACGTCGATCTTCAGTCTCACGCTGAACGCTCATGCCGATCCTTCTTCGTCTTGTGCCCCAAGGCGTGCTGTTTTGCCTTGCCGAATGAGGCATTCATTTCATTTGATCTTAGTTTCCTGCAACACACTCGACTTTCGTTAAATGGCCGCATAAAAGTGAGCATAAAAATTCAACTTCCCCAAAGCGGTTCAACGGTTGTTCTATTGCATCACCCTATACAGAACTCCTTTATCTAGATATCTCCACAGCGACTGTCCCAATCGGTTTGCAATTCCAAAATATTATATGCTATGTTTACTTGGGTTTGTTTTAGCCGATCTTTCAGCTGACCTGTTCGGGCCGCTACTATGCCGCACCGCAGGAAAAATCGCTTTTTTGTGAAACGCGTTTTGCCTTACAGGTGCCACTCTAAAAACCCAAAGCTGTCCTCACACTCCAAATTCCCTAAGCTATCGAACGGACGTGTAGCGTCACTGATGGACGAGGATACGCTGGGCATCTAAGGAATTATAGACACAGCGGGTTTGAAAACTAGTGTGCTAAGGTTAGCAACCAACATAAGTGTGCCAGCTAGCATAACCTTGGCTGACGCGCAAGATTTGTGTGGGCCGTTGCAATATCCACAGACTGATGTTGAGAACCGAGGCTTTCACTGTTTCCGGGTTCCCCTTGTGTCGGTCGTTCAGCAGCCTCTGTTCACCTGAGGTGTATGTGCGAAAAAAGGGGTGTAGAACCGCCCGTCAAGTTCTCAGTGCTGAGTATTAAGCTTGCCAGCACGAGGACCCACATAAAAGCATCCAAAAGTGACCCGAAATGTGTCCTAGATGCAGTGTGAACAACTGTCGTAAGAGGCAGTCCAAGCATCAACTATCCGAAATGAGAAAAACTATCACCTAAAAAGTGCACACACTGATCTTGAAAATTTTCTCACCGTCAACCAGGTGCGTATTAGTTGGGGCGATGGTTAAAAGCCTATAGGCCAAACCTTGTCAAAAGGCTGCTGATGTTGATCAGAAAGAGGAGTGGTCCCAAGAGAGGACCAGTAGAGACCGTGCAGAAAAAGATGTTGATCTATTTGAAAGCAGGGTCCTAATCCGGCGTAGAATTACCCCCTTGTATCCCACAAAACGAGTTTCTGGGATGGTGGAACGTATGGGACGCGATAATAAGCCGAAAAGTATGGGTCGTCCGATAGGAGTCCTTCGTCTTTGGCTTGGGTTGGGTTGTTCATCTTAGACAAGAATGATTTGGGAGGAACCCGTGTTGCGCTGGGAATATCAAGTTATAGGCAGGGAGGTGATTTAAGATGGACGGCATGCGGGTGTGTTCCATCAACTTACACGAAAACCCTTCCCTAGAAAGACCAATTTGCTTAAGAATGTATGTAGTTGCGCCTTGCCAAGATTGCATGTAATCGGGTCGCCGGGGCGGAGTACATGCATACATCGTGCTTTCTGTGGAATCCAGATGCCACTACTGGAGCACTCATTAGTTCCCCTTCTCTGTCTCTCAAATAGAATGACCGTTGGCCTGTTTCTTCGGTGGTGTCTCGGGTAATTAAATAGCACTTTTTTGTTTTGCGGCGAGGTCCAGTATCGTGGCCTGATTTAGCACGTTCCATTGTTGGATTTCCGATTCACAGAGGTCTCGCATCTTGTGAAATGCAAGCTGGACTTCTAAACCCATGTAGTCATCTTTTTGGAGGGCGGATTGAACATCGATTACAGAAGACATTGAAAATTTCTGGACATAAGATCCTCGAGTCACTCTACTGAGTGAGGACTTGAAACATGGTGTGAGTAATTCACACGGACGATCACCGTCGCCCGTTTACCTCATTCCTAAACCGCACCGTATTCCAGGTCCGAAAAAAGTAGTTCGTATATTCCTCCAAATAGGCTTCGAATAGTATCTCCCGAGCAAGCGGACAAACCATTTTCGATCGTTTATGTGGGCCTGGCTTCGGACCCAACGGAAGTCCGATCGCTGATTGGTCAAAATCCCAAACTGGTCCAGTCTCGCTCCGAGGCTGGAGAAGATCCTAACCTGTCAGCTTCCTCACTGTATACTCAGGAGATGCCCCGAGTTTCTTGTCGTATTCCGCAAACTCCATGGTTGGTCTTCCTATATACCTCCTAGTTGGTAAGCGAGAACAACTGTGATGACCTGAACTTAACGGATTTCACGGATTGATACACAGGATCGAGGCTTTTGCCCAAGTTTCCCGGGTCGGTTTTGTTCTTGTCGGTCAGTGGCTGTCGTTCACCTGAAAGGCACAAGTGAAAAAAGGGTGTAGCACTGCTCTTTATGTTCTCAGCGCGGGGCAGTATGCTCGCCAGCGCGAGGATTCGCATAAATAAATGTCTAATAGTGCTTTAAATTGGGTTCGAGAAGGAGCGTGTACAACCGTCGTAGGAAGGTCATTCCACGCAGCTACTACCCGAAATGATAAAAATTTTTGTCTGATGAATGTGTACGCTCTGAGCTTGAAAATTTTCTCACTATGTCCACGCCGGGTGTTTGCTGGGTCAACGGTGAAAAACATGTTTGCCAAGCTTTGTACAAGCAGGGCATAGGTGGGAATTAGGTCCCCTCAGAGTCGAAGGTACTCCAGGGGAAAGAGATCAAGCATCGCGAGACGCGTTTCGTAGTCCACGGATTTGAGGCCGGCAACCATTCTCGTGGCGGCCCGCTGGACACGCTCAATGAGGGTGATGTCTTTTGTACGTCCTGAGTAGACAACTTTTTTGGCGTACTTCAGGAGCGGTCTGACGTAGGCCCCATAGAGTATTTGGAAGTCCATGCGAGTAATACGGGAGAAGGTGCGTCGGATCATCCGTAAAACGGCGAATGCCTTTTGGGCCGATTTCTCATGGTGTAGTGCGAAGGACAAGTTTGAGGAGACCCAGATGCCTAAATCTTTTTTGGCATCTATCCTCATGATGTTTTCTGGTCCCTTTTCACCATGCATAACAAAGGCATTCGCTGAATCCCCTCCAAACGACACATGGACGCACTTTTCATCATTCAGAGGAAGGTGCCAGTCCAACGACCACTGCTTGGCAGCGTCTACGTCCATTTGGAGGGCACTGGCATTGGAACTCCAGGATTTTAAGCCGTCCGCGAAAAGTAATCATGGACTCGCAAGAACGTCTGGGAGGTCGTTGACGTGGATCAGAAACAGGAGTGGTTCCCAGAGGAGATCTCCTTTGAGGAGAAGCCCTTTAGCTTCAGCGATAGTTCGTTTAGCATTTCGTTTAGAACGCAAGGGAAATTGAAGAAAGGGAAGTTCGAAGGGTCCGGCTGGCTTTGGATGACTTTCGGGAAGACTTTTCGTTTATGGTTTCTGGGATGGTCAGCGCGAGTTCAGGCCAGAACGTCACGCCACTTTGAAAAAGGCGGAAGTTATGTGTGAGACTGTTACAGAGATGCCCGCATTTGTTGAGAGAGGACTAGCCCGGGTAGCCTGTTTGGGTAGCACAGGTGACTCATCGCTAAAAATTTATCGAATTCGCTACGCTGCACTTGAGCCAAAGTTTCTACGCAGGACTAATTTTCTAATAGATGAAATGTCCAGTAGTCCTTACGACCTATGAGATGGACTACGCACGTGGCCTTACAGGACGCGCGCATGCAATTGAGGGGACAAAAGTGGATACGGGCACTTCGATCCTTATTATTTTGCATAGAAGTGATTGGAATGGCAAATCTGATTCGGAAGTGTAACTGAAGAAACTGCAGAAAGCTATGTGAATACTTCTGCCCTCCGCAATCGGCAGGTAGTGCTAGTGAACCTAAGTGGTCATTAGCAAATTTCTCTAAGGTGGGCTGACCACCTCGAATAGCCCACATATAATAGTGCTGAATACTTGGGCGGCGAGAGGGAGCAGATGTTCAAATAAAATTATTAGTAGGAACAAGAAGTGATCCTTTTCTGCGCTCGGCAAGGAATCAGATCGGAAATGGAGCAACCTACTTTAAACTCTGATATCCGTTCGCCAGTGGACTAACGGATAGATAAGGAGCCATTGATGCCATTCTCTTCTCAATTCCGGATGAAGTTGCCTAGGATGTGGCAGAAACGAGAGACTGAGGCACCTTGTTTAGTCTGGTTGCGTTTGATTGCCTTTTTGGGGTCGAACTAAAGTAAAGTTCGATCGGTCACACTGGTGCCAGACTGGATAAAACCCAGGTGAGTGAGCCCCATACTACCAAAAATAATATTGTTTATTCTCAACCGGTGGGTCGTATACCATTACGTACGATCATAAGTTCGTTGGTAATAAGGAGCGTTAGAAAACCATTCGATGACTTTCCTCGAAAATTGCAGGGACCTAGTAGTAAAAAAGAACAAAAAGGAGAGTGCGTCATTACGTCCTAGCAGGAGCTTGGGTTCACGGATCCACGGATTGATACACAGGATCGAGGCTTTTGCCCAAGTTTCCCGGGTCGGTTTTGTTCTTGTCGGTCGGTGGCTGTCGTTCAC